AAGTTCCAAGTCTTTGTGCCAGTAGTTTAGCTTTAACAAGCAGAGAATCTTTCTGAGTTCTCATTTAACATTAAATATTGCTTTAGGTTTCCCTACATAAACATTAATGTATTTACTGTTTGTGATAAAACTTTATAAGTATATTGCCTATGAATATGGTTTTCCAGATTACCCACAGTTTGACAATTTGATACATTTGTTCAAGAGTACAAGAGGATAATGCAATTAACACCTAAATCACATCCTAACTCCCTCCAGCACTAACTAGAGTTATGCTTTTGTTTCCAAAGTCTCTTTGGCACACATTAGTATATTTCTGTGCACCATTCAGGAAAGGGGCAGCATGGTATTCTGGAAAGCTAGGTGACAGAACTGCTTCTAGTCCTCATTACTTACTCCCTCGCTACTACACAAAGCCCCTACTTAATCACCTGGTACCCTAAATTCCCTATCTATTAAATGATGAAAATAAGTTAATAAGAACAAATAGCATCAGCTCTTTTGTAAGAACCAAAACAGAGTAAAGCACTTGGTAGTGAATAAAGTGCTACAGAACTATATGTTAGCATTTATATATAATACTGCCTTAGAATGCTCTCCAGTTATCTTGTATATGTAGATTTTCTCCAAGCTAGCTAGACAATAAGTCCTTGAGAGGTGCATTGTGAATATTTCTTTGGGTCCTATTCAAAGTTCAGTCCTCTGGGACAAATAATACACATACGATAATTGTTTGAAAAGTATTTAATATGCCAAAAGCTGAACCCCTTCATGGTTAACTGTATAAACTTCACAGACCACATGACAGGTATGCCTCACTCACCTGACATAGTTTTGGATTTTGGCTGAGAGTTGTCATTGGCTACCTGAGTCTCTTGAAAGCAGAGGTCATATCCCAGTAATCTTTGTACCGCCAGCACTTACCTACGTCATCTAAGCACACAGAAGGAGCCCAAGTGATAAAAGATAAATAAATGAAGTGAACTTTAATTACAAACTTCCTAATAAACCTAAAAAGCCAATCTTGATTTTGGTTAAAACGGTCTGGGGGAAGTTTTCCAGAATCATCTGGAAAATGCACCATTTTTAAAGCACACCTACGCAACAAGTCATGTGATTTTCCCAACCTCTTTCCTTACTGAACACAAGCAGTTCTTTTTCAAAGATCATTAGAGGCTTGGGCTGCGGGAGATGGGGTGGGAAGGAACAGAACAGCTATTGGTCTGAGAGAAGGGGAAATTGCACTGTTCATTGTTCAGAGACGACAACATTATTCTGCACATGTAAACAGTCAAGGTGAAAACGCAGCAGACAGATAAAGAGCTTCTGTATGGAATATAAACTTTGGCAGGAGCCACTGTGCTGTGGTAGCAAAAGGCCTCCTGCTGGGGCAGCAATGGAAAAAATGACCTCAGAGAGGAATTCAGAGCAGAAAGGCTCAGAAAAAGATGAAATGCCATGCAGTTTGGGTGAAGTCCTTTGCTCCTGGGCATATTAAAGCATAAATCAATTTCAGTTTAAAAAATACAGATCACACGAATTGGTTGGAGTTTAATATTTTTTTCCTAATTATAGCTTACAATTCTGAAGTGTCACTCACTGCACTCATGTTTCTCACAGGAGATCCACAGTGTTTAGGCCAGGAGGGGAACTACATTAATCTGGACTCACTGGACCCACATCAGCCAATGTTCCACGGAGCTGCCTTGGCAGAGGGTGCCCTGACCAGGCAAGGATGGAGAAGCGGCAAGACCCCTTTTCCTCTTTCTGGAACCCATCTGGAGAGGGCTGCCCTCCTATGTGTATTCCAGCAGCAATTGGCGACTCTCATTGGTGGTGAGCAGCAAGTTCAGCAAGTGTTTCAGGTCGGGAGTCTTTGGCTATGTAATCTGAGCCTGAAATTTCTTTAATAAATTTGACATTTGCAAGGGAGAAAAATGAATCATTTCATATGGATATGAACAAAACCATAGTCTAGAAAAAATACCCACACCACCCACCCCTGCCCCAAACAACCTTTATTTTTAGACAGAGCTGCATTTTGAGAAAACATGAATCGAGTCACAAACTCAATGACAATCAAGAGTAATTTTAGAGGCACGCCAGAAAGAAAAAGGGGGTGTGAGCACATAAAACTCGTTTGTATTTTTATTTATGCTATTTCCCACAGGCTGAAAATAAACTTTGAAGAGCACCATTTCTCAAGCTGATCAGCTCCTAGAATCGGAAAACTTTGTGCTTATTTAGCAGTGCCCTCTGGTGTCCAAGTGGATTTTAGTTTTGCCTTGAGGTAAAAAATAAGCCATTATAGAATTTAACAAGTCTACCAGCAGCATTCATCCAGTCATCAAATATTTATTAAGAGCTTAGTAGCTATGCCAGTTACTGTGGAAGGTGGTGGGATACACAGGTGTTTAAAAAAAGACATGAATGTAAATGCAATTACAAAATTACTTGGTCATACACAAGAAGTCTCTTTACCTAGTTTTCCACTAAAATGAGACAGATATAATGGGGTTGTCTCCTTTCCAAACTGTTCTGGACCTTATTCACATTAGCGGGTATCTGGCTGGCTGTGGACGGAACAACTTAGGTCAAGTACACTGGGAACATTCTGAAACTGGGTAAACATTCCCGGACATCCAGTTTTAACAATTTCTGCGAAAAAGCTTTCACGGTCAACCCGAAGGACACTTCTGGTCTTGTAGTATTCTGGTCATCAGACAGGATACACAAATCTAACATTAAGCTTTACATTTCTTTCTGAAAATGTACCATTTTCCTAGCACTATGATGAAAATCCTCAAAAGGAATGAAGTGGGGAAAACTCTGAGAATTAATCATTACTGTTTGAGAATTCTTAGATCTGAAAATTGACAACTAGAGCTTCAGAAACACACATTGTTCTGAACTGGTATATCTTCAGACTTTCTGGAAGAGCAGGGGGAATCTAAAAAAGTTGCCATGACCTTCCATCGAGAGATTAACCAAAGAACATATATGTATACCGGTATATGTATAACCTATGACACAGACAATAGTGGGGAAGACCTGGGGTAGGGCAGGGGCTTCTTGAGAGGGTAAAGTGGGGGGAAATGGGAGACATCTGCAATACTGTCAATAAAAATTAAAAAGTAAAACAAACATGCAATTTAAATGTCATCAAAGAAAAGAGGAACTACTACAGACCAGGAATGATGCTTCTAAACTACCTTGTAATATTCTTACTTTTTGCCATTTTCCATTCTTGTTATTTTTGGTTTTCTAGAGTAATCAGCCATGACTGGATTCTAACCAATAGATTATGGCAAAGGTGAGAGGATTATGTCATTTAAGATTATGAAGTCTGGCTTGCGGAGAATCTCCTTGCTGGCTTTGAGGAAACAACCAGCTGTGCAGGCAAGGCCCACGTGACAGAGCAGAGTGGCCTCTTGCCAGGAGCCCACTAGGAACTGAGACCCTCAGTCCAACAGACAGCAGGGAACTAAAAGCTGCTACTAACGAGCAAGGAAACAGACTCTTCTCCCTCCAAGCCCCAGATGAGACTACAGCCCTGCCAACACCTTGACTGCACCCTTATAAAGGACCCAACTTTGAGATATTAAGTGGGTGCTGTTTTAAGTTTGTTATATTATTTGCAATGATAGTTAACATAAATCTCAAGATCCTTTTTAGAAACATTTTTATGATAAAAAGAAATAATGAAGACCAACTCATCCTTTTACTGCCCTGCCATTCTATTATAACCACAGTTAGCAATTTACTTTGTCATCTTTTTATTATATGCTGGGTGTTATTTATAGCCATGATCATATCCATTCATACACTTTTATATCTTGCTTTTTTACTTAATATTTTCTCATGTTCATTATATTCTTTACTAATTTTTAATGAGTACATAATGTACCATTCATTGGAGATATATATATATATATATATATATATACACACACACACATATATATTTGGCAAACTATGGTCCTGCATTTGTAAATAAAGTTTTATTAGAACACCCTCATCCATGCTCATTTGTTTACCTATTGTCTATTGTTATTTTTGTGCTACAAACTACAGAGTTGAGAAGCTGAGACAGAGACTACATGGCCTGCAAAGCCTAACTTATTTACTTCCTGGCTCTTTACCAGAAAAGTTTGTCAACCACTGTCCTCAACTTTTAAGGGGTTTATAATTTGGGCAATTACAAGTAATGCTATTTATAACATCTTTGTGCATATAATTTTTATATTTTAGGCAACTTGATTGGATTATAACAAAAGTGGAATAAATGGGTCTACTTCATAAAGATGTTTTTAAGGCAGACACTGTCCCCCACTATTTCCCTTGCAACAGTCTACTATGATATAGGATTGTGGTAATAAGAAGGGAAAGGAAGTCTCAGTATCTTTGTAGGTAGCACTTCTCTGGTCCTTATTAATCTAGACATTGCAAGGTCACACTCTGGATGACCTTAATTATAGTTTTGATTTAAAGTAAACAAAAAAGGAATGTAACAGTAATTGAAACATTAGGAACAATTACAGAAATATTTACTTTCTACTGGGATTAAAAATCAGACTAAAGTAAACTCTTCAGGTATCAAGGTGTATATGAAAGGTATTCAAACCTATCTGTAGTGGCCAAAGGCACTGAGAGAGCCGAAATAGGGAAAGGGTGGCAGTCTCAACGATGCGCTGGCAGTAACAGCAGTCAACGATGAGGCAGCTAAGAGTGGAGGATAACCCTCTTATAACATCCTAGGCATAAACTTGTATACAACTGTAATTAAATTGCCTCAGATAAAGTTTTAGAGCAACTACCCCATATTTTTGAACAATAACAAAAAATTCTCTATCTGGGCAATTTTCCTACTTTAGAAAAACATTTATGGAATAAGACCAGCTAAGTCAATCCTGACTGTCTCTGGGATAAAAGAGGAAGCAGGTTGAGGGGTCTCAAGTCCAATCTTGTATGAATAAAGTAAGCACCAGGAAGTATAGGTGTCATCTTCTAAGGGAAATATTCTGCAACATAAAAAACAAAGATCAGGATGGACGTTTGCCGCAATAACATAATTTAAAAGTAAAACTAGAAAGATATTTAATTATTCTAATTATGCCAACAAGTCTGTAAAAATATCATAGGCTTATTTTATTAAAATATTCCTGTCAAAATGTCCACCAATTTAACATACCATAAAGAAGTGTTCTTTTGGTTAAAGCTATCATTAGCCTTTACTTTCCACCTCAGTTACTTGTCAAATACTAAAATGCACTACAACTTCATGAAGTACTCTGGGAAACCATTAAATTCTCTACAGAAAAAGAAAATCATTCTTATGAAAACCAAGAACATGTCACTATGAACAAAATATAGCAGGTATGAAAATAAAGCCATTATTTTTCATGAATTTTCCTACTGCAAAGGAAGAGGTAATTCTGTGAAAGGCTTGATTCATAATTAAAATTATGTCATAATTTTTCTCTTTCTTCACTCTTTACTGTTAGTTGCCTCAAAACTGACCTGCGGGTCTGGCAGCATAAATCCATCAGTGAGTTTATAATAGACTATTGTGGAATCGGACTCCACTATGGCCAGAGTAAAAGACATCGGCAAATCTGGATCACCTTGCAATTTCCGAGATGCCTTCAAGATCTCCCTTATCCTGAAAAGCAAGCCACAAGGCATTTAGGATTCACCCAGTCACTCATTAATAAGATCAAGAGGCAGGCAATAATCACATTATATCTATAATGCTGACTTGGGAAATGTCTGAAAGCTCAAATATAAACATTTAAAGTTGTCTTCTCACACAGAAAATCCTGCAGGGAAGGGTTATCCGGACTTTCAACCCTTCCCTTTTTCATTCGCCCATCTTTCCCGATCATCAGACCTGAAAGTCAAACTATATTTAGGAACCTACCGAACAGGACTCCAACAGTGAGTGTTTAGTGCATCTGAACTAAGGATCATGAGTGTTCATTTTCCAATTTTCCTCTTACAAGTGAAATAATCTTGTATTGAGGTTTTTTTTAAAAAACAGACTGTAATAAATATTTCCCTTGCTGTGTTTATAATTACTACCTTTAAATGGCTGTATAATATTTTATTCATTCATAATTTGCCCAATCATTCCCTTATTGCTATAAAGTTCTTCCATGTTTTGTGGGGGTGAATGTGCTAATAAAAATGAGCTGTAAAGATCATCTTTCTGAAGGTAGTTGTTTCTTTTTAAATATTTGTTGGGTTTTTTCAAGTATTGGAATTATTAGGTCTGAATATAGATATATTTATGGTTCTCAATATGTGTTCTGATATTGAGCCAAGAGAAAAATAGAGAGAAAAATAACACTTTTGGGGGTAACATTAGGTATCAAGCAGTCAATGTTATACCTTATTTCAGTTTGCTTACTGTGGAAAATAATTTATCAAATCTGATATTTAGGCACTATTACCTTTTATTTACCAACAACTAAAAATCCTTATTATATACTCAAAAAACCCATGTTCAAAATTCAGTAAATGTAACCTCAAAAGGTGGTTTCTTTAAAAGGCAAATAAAAAATGATTACTTGTTTTTTCACTAAGCTAATCAAGTCCCCAAAGATTGGAGAAAGATTTACTAGCATATTAACAGCAAAATACTGTATTGTATTTAGTAAAAGTATAATTTGTCCCCTTAAGTTCTACTTCCCATCCTTAAGTAAAAATTCTTATGGTCACTCTTCCCCCATCCTATTAGCCATTGAAACTACAAAAAAAAAAAAAAAAAAAAAAATCTTAAGAGAAAAGTCTATGCTTTGAAATACTCTTACTATAATAATTATAATGCTTTTTTAAAAATCTGTAATAAAGACTGGAGATTTTAAGTGATTTAAAACAGCAGTAAACTGTTAAAACAGCAGTTAAAAAAAAAAAAGCTGAAGTTCTAACTGGTTTGTTAGAACACCAGTCACAAAAGACTACTTACCTGCTACCTATTATTTAAGTTTACAAAGGCATGAAGTGAGATGAGAGGGTGAGTTTCTGAGTTTGTTCCCTCATACTCAAACAATTTCTAAAATGACTCTGAAAGAGGTAAGCCAGCAATTTAGTAACACTCCAATTGTCAAGTATAATTCACTAGATAAAGAAAATATGTGTACCTGGCAAAATTTTAATTCCTTTCCACGAGTCAATAAAGCAAAGCATCATCTTCTCACAAGTCTTTCCTGGCACCTTTCCCCAACCTCTAGGCAAAGTTACATGTCTCACCCTACAGAGACACCCTGTGTAGCCTACCTTACTGTAATCACTGCTTTGTATTTATACATCTCAGTGTTTGTTTCCCACTGGGTTGTACTCATTTTGAGGGTCAAAGCTTTTCAAGAAATGATGCTGTAACATGAAGACAATATACCTGTACCTCTACACACAGGACTATTGAGGTGGCATACATGAAAAGGCTTTACAAAGTGTCAAGTAGTCAGCAAGTACAAGCATTACTATATGGTGCCTATACCAGCTTTGCTACCTTGAAAATTGGGACATGTTTTTATCCACATCATCCTTAAAAAATAATATCTAACTATGTTAAATTACATGAACATCAATTAGATTCATTTCAGAATTTTTCTTTAGAGATACTCAGATGAAGCAACCATAGATATTAACTGGCAACTTCAATACTTAGCACTGATGAAAAATGACAGTCTTGAGACACTGCAGTACACACAAGTTAAAAATAAGTTTCTTTAAACATCCCTAACTGGCAGAGTGTGACGCGGATGGGACACAGATGGAAGGGAAAAAACCTATTAAGAAAACTGTTACATATCTTCCGTTTCTCAAGATATGATACTTAAATCAGAATGTATGTGTATGTGTTTCGTAAGGTAAACTGTGTGGAAATTCTAGCCCATATATTGAAATTTAGAATAGAAATTTCCATCTCATTCGTATTTGTTTTCATAGTTCTTTGATATAAACAGCAAAACATTTTCTGACTTACTCAGAACACCCACGTGGGAAACCCTAGCATCTGAAAATGAGCTCAGACTTGTAAAGCCTGGTTTGTCTTCAGAGCTGAGGGGAGTCACTGTTAAAAATGAAGTGGAAGTTCCCATCCCTGAGCTGTTTATCCTGTCTGGGTGTATGGGAAGGAAGAAGGAAATTACAGTTTGAAATAATAATTTAGAAACCATAGAATGAAGTTTCCTCATAGGCACATTGTTTAAAAGCTCGGTTCTTTAAAAAGTATTGTAAAGATGTTTCACCATAATAAATATTGTTATAAAATAATTTCGATAACAAAATTGCTTATAGTTCATATTTTATATACATCCACATATGAAAAACATACATAATGAGAAGTTCATATTTTTGAGTGAATTATATTTCAAGGGAAAACCCCACCTGAAGAAATAGATGTCAATAGCAATTATAATTGCTGTTCAACAGTAACAGAATTTGATGCTTGCAACAGTTATGATGTTCTCATAACTAACAGTTACAAACAATAACAGTTCTGATGGTGTCATAACTGTTCAGAGGGGAGCTCAGCATACAAATAGGAGCTCAGTAAACAAAGGGATCCCAAAGTTTACTAAAGTTAACTTGAAAACAAATCTGAGGCAAACAGACAGGCAACACCATTTGGCTACTGCCCTTCCTCTAAACGAAGCAAATGCCTTCCAGAAATCTCAGCGTTCATCTTTCTGTAAGATCCTCCAACAGAGGCTACGTGATCTCTAGAGATTTACACAGAGGACAGAAAGCTGAAGGCAACATTACTTACTACTTTTGACTTGAAATGTGATTGCAACAGAATGCATCATGGGTTAAAATTATTAATTTCAACCCACAGAGAGTGGTATCTTCTTCTGCCCTTCAATGTGACCAAACTGGCACATGTTGTAGCCTCAACAATTAAAGGCATTAACTCCCTAATCTGCCTCATTATGATACTTTAGAACGACATCCACAATCCAACTCAGGAACACAATGCAAATTTAAATTGGTGCCCAAGGTGGCCAAGAAGCTGTATTCATCCACAGACTCAATCCTGAAGAAAAGTTCAAGAATAACAGACCACCTCCGTGGGAATCATGCCAAGGACTGCCTGGTAAAAAAAAAAAAAAAGCAAGGTGGCTAAAATCCCAAGGTGGCGGGGTTACCGAACAATTAAGTGCCTGTGTGACTATCCACCTCAGTGGGGAGCCATTCTGTTCATATAAATGGCAAGCGTGTGTGTGTGTGTGTGTGTGTGTGTGTGTGTGTGTGTGTGTGTGTGTAGAGAAAAAATGCTGTGTCTGTTGAAAGAAGCTGCCAGAATTGGGGGTTCACCAGTAACAGACTCCCAGCAGAGGTAATATGAGGACACACATCAGATATGCAGGGAAGTCAAAGGACAGAAATCATTTTACCAGTTATTAAACTTTAGGCCTCACATAAAATAATGGCCATTAAATGAATCTGTAATAAAGAACATACTTTTGAAGAATGGAAATGTTTTTCAATTACAGGGGAATAATAGAGTATCCTTCAAAAATATTGTAGCAATGTCCTGGGGGGAGGGAGTCAATGGGGAACAAAGGAGACATATGTAATACTTTAAACAATTAAAAAATTATATATATATGTGGATGTATATATATATATGTGTGTGTGGATGTATATATATATATAATTTTTTAATTGTTTAAAGTATTACATGCTACTATCTATCTATCTATATATCTATCTATCTATATATATATATATATCAGGATTAAATCTCATAATTAAGAACATCTTTTAAAACGTTCTAAATATAGTTAATACTATATTGCATAATTGAAAGTTGCTGAGTATTAAAAGTTCTTATCACAAAAAAATCTTTTTTTTAAAAAATTCTGTAAGGTAATGATATTAACTAGGCTTATTGTGTTGATCATTTTGCAATGTATACAAACAATGACACTATTTTACACCTGCAACTAATATGTTGTATGTCAATTAAATTTTTTAAAATGTTCTAAAGAAAGTCAGTTCTAGTTACCCTTCACTCCACCATTAGTAAGTCCTTTTCCCAGGGCACTAAGGAAAAAGAAGGGATTAAAGGTAGGGGAGTGGATATGATGAAAAAGTTCACAAAGGTAAGGAGGCATTGTGATTGTTCCCTATCCTCAGATCAGTGTAAAGTGTGAAAGCAGTGCTAAATCTGGAAGCAAATGGACTTTGCAGACATTCTAATTTTTAGAAACTCTTGGAAGGTTGCTTGTGCATATTCTATGTTTTTTAAGATTTTATTTAGCAAATCTCCACTGCAGGAACTTAGTGGTTTAAGAGAGCTCATTCAGTCATTCAACAAACACAGATTTTAATAGCAAGTACCAGATAGCAGCAGGCTATGCACTGCAGAAACAGCAATGAGCAGAACAAAATTCCTGCTTTCATGGAGGTTATTTTCAAAAAGGGAAAGGAAGATAGCAAACAAAGAAAACCAATTACCTATCGAGTAGCAATAAATGTGATAAGTGTTACAAAGGAGGGCTACTTAGTTGCAATACTATGGCCAAGAGTCCTGATCAAACCAAATGACAAAAGTTCTTAGATGTTTAGCCTAATGGCTGCTGAATTAGCAGATGAACAATTTGGTAAGTGGCATATTGAAGCCTTTTTCTAAATTTCTACAATAATATTCAAATAGGAAGATGCTAAGAAATAGTACATTTGGAAAAGTTTTCTCAGATAACATGGCTGAGGGTACCCATTTTTCACCAGAAACCAAGAGAAATGCCACTAATTTGTGGGGCTGGAGGATAAAGTGGTCACTGGAGAGGCTCCACCCTCACATAAGCTATCCATTATCCTTTGCTGGCACCAGAGTGAAAGAGCCCTTTATAATCCAGTGAGTTTTAGCAGGATGAATAATTCATTGGTGTTACTAAGCAAGGAGAGAGAGAGAGAAAGAGAGAGAGAGGGGGGGGGGGGAGAGAGAGAGGGAGAGGAGAGATAGAGTTATAGATCATTTCAAAAATAATAGATTAACTGTCTCGGGATTTTGTAATTTATAAGACTTCACTTGGTTTTTTATTTTTTTTATTTTTATTGATTTCACAGAGGAGATAAGAGGGAGAGATAGAAACATCAATGATGAGAGAGAATCACTGATTTCCCTATTAGGAATCAAGCCTGCAACCCAGGCACAGGCCCTTGACCAGAATCAAACCTGGGACCCTTCAGTCTGCTGGCCAGTGCTCTATCCACTGTGCCAAACCGGCTAGGGCTTCACTCGGCTTTTTAAAAATTAACTTATATACAAACATAGATAATTTAAAATACAGCTACTGTGGTTTTAGTGTTCAGCACTTTATATTTTACCAAAGAAACGGAATTGACCTTGAAATTGGGAGACAATATAGATTCTATGGGGGGAAGGGGGAAAACAGTAGTGGAAAACAAAACTTTTTTTTCATTATTTTAAGTCATTGTGTAAATAACTTAAGATATTTTCCCATTTATAACTATCCACAATATTATTATTATTACAGAAACCTGAAATTCTATTATCATAACTTTGTTGTAATATACTTCTCAACAAATATCAGTGCAAAGTGGTCCAGAAGAAGCTCATCAAGCCCTCTGAATACTAATGTGACTTCATTTGCTATCTTAGCACTGAAAAAGGCCCCTGGCTTTCCTTAGGATTCCTCTGGTTATCTCATCTTTAAACGTAGCAGATCTCTTGACCTCTGTGAAATTATTAATATGATTTTTATACTATTGCTGGGTCTGGGGAAATCAGAGTATTCATAACCTTTACAGTCATTTACCAAAATTGCTACATGGATTCTCAGATTCAGGTTAGTAAGAAACAATCTATAGAGTACTTTCCATATGCATTTATAATCCAAATATATAACCTAATATAGTATTTTTAAATATGAGCTAAAAATTATTTTACATAGCATTCAGTAGTATTTTCATTTTTTAAAATATATTTTATTGATTTCAGAGAAGAAGGGAAAGGGACAGATAGAAACATCAATGATGAGAGAGATTACCCATTAGCTGCCTCCTGCATGCCCCCTACTGGGGATCGAGCCTGCCACCTGGGCATGTGCCCCTACCAGGAATGGGACTGTCCAACTGTGACTGCCTGGTTCCTAGGTGGACACTCAATCACTGAGCCAAACTGGTTGGGCTAAATAGTATAGTTTTAGATAAGAGAAAAAGATGTATCCTGTTCTTTGAGAAACAAAAACAACCTCATACTCCATCAGCATAATTTTCCCACTAGATAATCAGATATGGGTACTTTATAAATTCTGTTTCCCTCCTGGAGATCAGCAATTAGTATTTAATCAATATTTTCACAAGCACTGGTGGGTATAGGTACCAGAGTCTGTAATTCTTCTCCTATCTCAGTACTGATAAGGCAGATGAACTGGGAATCTGGTAATCCCATTCATTTTACTTCTCACCAACTTTTACTTGAAGACCTTCTGAAACTTTGAAAATATGCCAAAGTGTTTTACTATGAACATATATTATGTATAAGAAAATACCAGTCACAACTACTTTTGCTCAGAGTAGTGCATTCAGATTCACTCTGTAATGGAATTTGTCTGCACTCTTGCCAAAACTATGTAAATAAGATCATTAGGTCCAAAGCCTGGAAAACTAAGTGGGAAATGGATACAAAAACTGTAGGGGAACTTAGAAATTCAGATAGATATGGCATCAGATGTTACCTAGAATTGCTACCTTTTAAGGAGTTGGCAAATACACATACACCATAAAATAAATAATAGAAATAATAAGCTAATGCAAATATCCTAAAGGGAATACGCTAATTGAACATCACTCCATCACAAAGATGGCTGCACCCACAGCTGAGGCCAAGTTCCCATAAGGAGCTTTAATGAGCACTCAGCAGGATACTGAGGCTACGCCCTCCCTCACCTCCAAGGGGCATGACAGGGGACCTCAGGCCTTGTCCACTACCTGGCAGGGCTTGACAGGGGATCTCAGGCTGTGCACCCCAGCCTGGCATCAGGCTGGGGGACCTGAGGACATGCTCCTGGCCTGGCAGAGCTTGACGGGGTACAAGGTGTGCTTCCCATCCTGGTGCAGGGCTAGGGGACCTCAGGCTGCTCCCCTTGCCCCAGCACCAGGCCAGGGGACCTCAGGCCACACCCCCCACCAGGTGGGGCTTGACAGGGAACTTCAGGTTGTGTCCCGGACCCTGGCACCAGGCTGGGGCACCTCAGATCGCACCCCCCACTTGCTGGGGCTTGACAGAGGACCTCAGGCTGTGCCCACCACCCAGCGGCGCTTGACGGGGACCTGAGGCTGTGTCACCTCCCGGTGCTGGGCCGGGGGACCTGAGGCTATGCCCCCTGACTGGCAGGGCTTGCCGGGTCTGGATCTAACCCAATGGGGGGAGGGTGGGCCGGGTCTGGGTCTCACGTGATTTTGAGGTGTATGTCAGTAGGCAGGGACTTGACTCTGGGTCCCGTGGTGTGCCCCAGACTCTGACAAGAGGAAGGTTTTCACATACATTTTACTAATTTTCTTTAATCTCTGACACTTCTCTTATAGAGAAAGGGCAAGTAGCAATATTAGATTATTTCCTCTAATTAATCCCTTTTAATGTGCACGAATTTTGTGTACCAGGTCACGTGTGTGTATATGTGTGTGAGAGAGAGAGATTCTGTCTCTCAATAGTCAAGATAGCTATTGAAGTGGTTTTAAAGGATAAATGAGATTATTTACTGTTATGACTGGGAAACAATCTTATGACTAAGTTGTAGTTAACTATGTAAATGACAGAGCTTAGTCCAGTTTTACAAAGTTGAGACTTTAAGAAAGGGGACAGCTATCATCCTTATATGCTACATGCCCTGTGTAAATAACATGGAATTACACCTCCAGCAAAATGCCAACTCTCTGGCTCTCAGATTTTGTGTATCACCCAGAATCCCTAGTCATAAAAGTCTTCTTTAACATTTTTGAGGAATAAAGAGCATTAAAAAATCCCCACTAAACACAGATAGCTAAGCAGGATCATCTAGGATAGCAATTTACTACTGGTGTGCTCAGACTAGTTGTGCAGTGTATGGAAAATAATTTGCTTCTAACAATGAAGTATCAAAGTTGTAATGTTACTTTTAATATAAAATTAACTGATATCATTTAATATTCCCTGTTACATATCTTCACTGTCATCCATTCACATTCCACCATGCTTTCTTTATTAAATTGAGAGGAAAGTGACATACAACGCTGTATAAGTTTAAAGTGTACAATGTGATGAACTAACCTACTAAAGAGCAAAATCACCTGCCCACCTGTTATGGCTGAGGGAGGCATTGATGGATGTAGGGACCACAGTCTGTAGCCCTTCTCCTTCTATCTCAGTACCAACCAGGCAGATGAGCTGGAGGTCTGGCAATCCCGCACAGTTTACTTCATGCCAACTTTTACCTGAAAGAGCATCATTAAATGGATAATGTTTATAAAAAAACAAAGATAAAAATTCTAAACTTCTAATATTCAGCTGAGCAACATAAGTTATAACACTATCTTCTCTTTACATTTTTATTTATCTCCTCTTTTACTTATTTTGTTACCAAGTAATTCCCGCTATCAGTGAATGAAGAAATTACAAAATGGATAACAGCAAATGCATAAACAATGGCTTATAATGTCAATAATTCTATATCCAAACCCAACTCCCCAACTCTCCACCATGGCCCCGATAATAAAGCAATATAAATAAAAACTTACTCTCCATGAGGTCCAGGTAAACCAAGAATGCTATATAGACTTGAGTAGCATCTCCTATATCTAATTCCATCATTTCTAAATACTGAAAGTCAAAATATAATTGTTAGAGAAGGAAGAATCTCTTAATATTTTATTTCACGCAACCAACTTTTATTAAATATATAGGAAATATTAAACTCAATTCTAGGTATAGTGGGAGTTATAAGGCAATGTAAAACCTGATTCCTGACTCTAAAAAACCTGCAATTATTAGGGTAAGCACATTGCACACTTGCATCTGTTAGGCAAATAGCAATACATGACAGAAAATGGTTAAAAACCAAGTGAGTGGAATTAAAGAACCTTGATGCAACAGGTCAGAAGAGCTATGCTCCAGTGAATTGGTTTGTGAATGTTTTATGAGAGAGGGGAGATACAAATTGGGCCCTGAAGGACATGTATGATTTGACTAAACCGAGAAGGTAGTGCAACATTACAACTAATCACACAAAGGTGGGAATAAGCCACACATATTCAAGGGCCTATAAAGAAACCTATCTGCCAGAAGTAGACATTTTTAATAAGAATTTTGTTGGGGCATGTAGTGGGAGCCTCAATTCTCCTGGTCTCTTATTTGCATGTGGAGAAAGTCTAGTAGAATACCACTCATGGCCTCTCTCTCCTCCCTCAAGAGCAGCCAGTTATTTAAATGCTAGATTTTAAAGAAAGGGCCAAGCAAGCTGCTGCTGTTTTCAGACTTACTGGTCAGCACTGTGGGAACATACATCAGGGGTCTCTACTCCTGTAGGGGAAGCCTGAGATTCTCCAACTACATCAGTGACTAGGCGGGTAAGCAAGACTAATGCACAAATGAGGGATCATGCACGGATGCATATCTAATATCACCTTCTCCTTTCAGCTGCATCGTAAGTGTACAGGTACAGGCAAACAGGGGTGTTATTAGCTGTCCTCCTCAAACCTTAAATGTGCTTGAACACAGCACTGAAAAAGTAATTGGGAACCAGGATGCAAGGAATGGATGACCTGGGTAAAGTTTGAATTTTACCCATAAGGAAACACTTCTAAGCATGAGAGTAGGATGAATGTGGTGTTTGAGGACAATAAATCTGATACCATGTTACTGGACGGGCCTAAGTCATTTTCAAATTGAATAATAAAAAGGCAGTAGTAGAAAAACCAAACACCCAATATCTTTTCTTCCTTTAAAAAAAAAAAAAAAATTAGACCCTTCAAGAGGAAAAAAAAAAAAATCGAAAAGGAAGATTTGATGGTGAAGTTATATGGCCATTAACTTCAAAGAGAAAAAAAAAAATCTGCCAGTATAAAAACTGAGTAGCACCACCAAATCTAAAGGTTTTTAAAACTTGCTATTGGTGTTTCACTTCTTACTTACACAGTGCTTACTTACTACATGTCAAGTTCTTCCTAAATAGTAACTGATTTAATCCTATGAGATAAGTACCCTTATTATCCCCATTTTACAGATGAGAAAACCTAAGTGCAATGAGATTAAACAATTTGCCCCCAATCACAAAGCTGGTGAAGGAACCAGGGTTCAAACTCAGGAGATGTGTCTTTGAGTTCATGCTCCTAACCACTGGGCTGCCTCTCTGTTTCTTTTTAGGGCACTGAATAACAGCTCCATGTTACCGTTTGTTTTTCTCACATTGAAGGGGGAATAAGGGGACGGAGCAGCAAAATAAAATTAAGCAAGATAAAATGAGACTTTTATCTTCAAAATTTTTCTTTTCTTGACTTTTTATTTTAATGTTTTAAAAATATTTTTTATTGACTTCAGAGAGGAAGGAAGAGGGGGCGGGAGAGAGGGAGAGAGAGAAACATCAATGATCAAAGAATCAGTGATGGGCTGCCTCTTACATGCCTTCGCCGCCCCACACTGGGGATGGAGCCCGAAACCCAGGCATGTGCCTTGACTGGGAATGGAACCATAACCTCCTGGTTCATAGGTCAACACTCAACCACTAAGCCACAGGGGCCAGGCTCTTGACTGTTTTTAGATGATTACTTATGAAATATTTCAATGCAGCAGAAGACTGCGATTCTATCAGTTCCTAGACCAGTCCCTGAGATTCCTACCCCACTTCCACCCTCCCATCTCCATTACATGTCTACTCACTGCTTGGGGCATTACTGGTACAAGGCAGCAATTTGCCAAGCAGAAGCAAGCAAGGAATTATCTTTCTCCTCCTGAAAAATACAACCACCAAGTGAGCAGTTCTGCCTTTGGGAAGAACCTATTTAACTTTCCAAGAAACCCAAAGAATTTAGGAATCTGCACTGCAGGCAAAATCAAGACGCACGCTCTGGGCCCAAGACTCAGTGCCTACACCTTTACCACGACCGATTCCAGGCCTTATCCACCGCCCACAGGCCGTGTTTTTGCGTGGTTAGTGTAAGGATGAAGTGAGACCATCACCAGGGGAGTGGCTAGCGTTGATGTCCTGCGTGGGAGGGGCGGGTGTGTCTACCCCTCGGGTTTGGAAGGGCAAAGTGGGGTGGGGTGGGGTGTGGATTAGTGTCAGGGCAAGAGATCAACTCGTTGAAACAAACGAAAACAACATTGCTGCGGTTGGCAGTGTGCACAGGGGTATCCCTACAGTGAAGGTCGTGCAAGAGGGTCCGGAGGGGAGCGCGGCCTGGGGGGGTTCCTCCTGGGCTGGGGGCCTGGCCCGGCGCCCCGCTCCTTTCGCGCCTCCTGACCTTTGGGTGGGTGGCCATCCAGGCGTCCTCCGGGGCCCATGGAGGGGCGCCACCACCGTCGCCGGGAGCGCCGCCCGGGCCCTGGGCGCTGCAGCCCTGGGTGGGCTCGGGATCGCCGAGTCTCTCCATGCCAGGCACACCGAGTCCCTACATGCCGAGCACGGATGCAAGCGCGCCAGCTGTGCACCGCGCCGGCGCCCGGCCGGAAGCAGGGACGCGCGCACGAGGGTTCCGCCGCCCCGCCGCCCGCCGCCTCCAGGCAGGAGGGCTCCGTCCTGGGAGCAAAGTTGGATCAGCCCCGCCTTCCAACAAAGGAAGCTGGAACCTGCACGGAGTTTTCTCTCGTCTTTGCTCTGCGTTTATTTAAATCGTGGCAGAATTAGAGTGAAGAAGTTGCCTTCCACCAGTGCTGTTTGCAGCTCTGTGGAGAAAGTAGGAACTAACATATAAGGTCTCTCTTTGCCTTCAGCATTGGGTCCAGGTCTCCAGCTCCTGGGGACAGGAAAAGCCCCATGCAGTGTCCTGAAAGCTTCAAGTGTGGAAGTGGGTGAAATCTCTATCGAAGAAAGTGGAAAGAGGAAAAACCAGAGTACCAAGAACCGTATTTTTAGGGTGGATCCAGCTTATGGGATGAGAGGAGCAAGAGTAAACAGGATTTGTTGAATGAGTGTGGTCAGGAAAAGTCAGATGCAAACAGTGCAGACATGGGACCAGGAAGCCAAGGATGAGGAGTTTCAAACAGGCAGGGTGGGGCATTGTGAGCATTTATGGATTTACTCTGAGTGAAATGGGGAGACACTGGAAATTGCTCTTAACGTTTAATAGTATTCCCCTGGCTGATGTGTTGAAAATAGACCTTAGGGGGCAGGGGTAGGCACAGGGAATGGTTAGGAGGATATTGCATTAACCTAAGCAAGAAATGACTCTCAAGATTAAAAGTCCTAGGCAGCGATAGAACCTCTGAGTCCAAATATGACAAAGATCATACTGGACTTTTCTACTTTCTAGTAGAAAACCCCTGTAAAACATGGACATCATACAAAAGGCAACCACCTGAATACACTGGAATGCAAACAAAAGTAGGCTGACTTTGGTAGGAAGGGCAACTTGCTTGGAGATGGGCTGATGAGAAGCTATACAAGAAAGTTCCCTTTCCTTGGCATTTAGGTTACGGCTAAGTGCAGTCCAGGAGGCAGGCTCCGCATTTGCCAGGGTTCATGTGGAAAACCTCTCCAGTTTTTCTTATCTGGGGAGCCAAGACAATGAAGGCAGGAGATTTGAATGCATGAGAAATTAGGAAATTCCAGAAGAGAAGAACCAAAGAGGATATCCCCAAGATCTCTCTGCTCAGGTTTCAGGTAGATCCTGAACCATTCAAAACAGAATCACAGTAATTCAGTTAAAAACAGATGATCTGAACTGCAACCAGAACTGTCCCCAAGAAACAGAGTTTGCAGTTCTAATCCAGCCAAGAAAATTACCTACCAACACATAGGAAGTAACATTCATCATAGAAAAACAATAGAATCCAAAACCTCCACAATTCATCATTCATAAAGTCCAAGGTATGATTCAAAATTACTGACATATAAAAATAAAGAAAATGGACCACATTTTCTAGAGTCCAACCGAAATGAATCAGATGTTGAAAATGACAGGTAAGGTTTTGAAATTAATTATTATAACTATCCTAAATAAACTAAAATGTGTTTTCAGTGAATGAGAATTTCAAGGGACAAATAGAAGAACTCGCAGAAAAAAAGAAAAAAAAAAGAAATTCTGGAACAGAAAATTAAAATTTCAGAAATAAAAAATTCCACTGGATAGAATTAACAGCCAAATTACAAAGGGGATCAAAGTGAACTTGAAGGTAGAGGAATAGAAATCTTCCAAAATGAACAACACAGAGAAAATGATTTTTAAAAAAATAAACAGAGGCTACTACATGATATCTAACAATCCAACATACATATAAGTAGAATACCAGATGGAGAAAAGAAAGGGAATGGGGCAAGAAAATTTTTGAAGAAAAAAAAATTTCCCCAAATTTGATGAAATAAATTTGCAGATACAGAGTGCTAAATGACCACCATGTAAAATAAACACAACCACATCCACCCTGAAATTAAACTGTTGAAAGTCAGATGTAATTTTAAATATGTCAAAAGAAATGCAATATATTACATGCATAGACAAGAAGTGCATCTATTCCTGAATGTGATGTAAAACCCACATGAAGATCCATAAGTTTCCCTAGAAAGTATTGCATTTAATTATCATTAACCTTTGTCTCCATGAAGCAGCTGCTAAGCCCTGAAGAAGCAAATGGCCCTGAAATTAGTAGGCTCTTTGAAGCACTGACATTGATGATAATTCAAGTAATTAGAAGTGAATAAACATTTCTCTCTGACCTCTAAAGACCCCCATCAGTTCATATGATGGTATTTATAGAAGTATTAAGGGCATTTTGTTCCTAATGTGAATTGAGGGGAAATTTTATAAATTATTAAGGAGATCCAATCAAATTTAAGTGCTATGTGGACACAGCTCAACCATCTTCAGGGGAAATTTTTCAGCTTAAGCTTAAAAAAAGAAAAAAAGAAAAAAAGATGGGGTGGGGGTAGGGAATCCCAGAAGGATGCAGAAAGAACTGTAAACTGAAAAAACAACAGACTAATGGTACTTTTTGGCAAATAGATGATATTCTATTACCAAAAAAGCATGATATATTTAAGCATGCATATTAAATGCTTCTGGCTTTTCATGTCTATTAAAAAGAGTTGAAGAATGAAATGGAATGTCTCTTAACTTTCATATTAAAAGCAATGGACATTTATAAATAAGTCTTGATGATTAGGACTAGCCAAGAAAGAAAGTATTTAGGAATACAAATACAACCTAGTATTTGAAGTCCTAGAATCAAAATGATTATTGTGGCAATCTAGGGTGAAATCCACAGAGAACAGGTTAGAGTTTCAGCTTTTGACAGACTGTAGGATTTCTCCTTTTATAACTGCTTTCATAGTTCACTATATTAGAGTCAGAGTGGTTAGGGAAAAAGCTAGGTAAGTAACAACAGTAAATCCCCCTGAGTATACTGGTGTGATCAAATTCTATGTAATCTGGCACTTGCTCTACTGATTTCCCATCTTGATGTCTGAGCCAGACCACTTACTCCCACAAAAAAAAGTCTCTATTGTCTAAGCAGAGACATATTAATTCAGTTAGAGTCTCAGAAGAAAAAACAAACTGAATTGTAATGTGAATTTTTAGTGTATGAAAAAGAAATGTTTTTTCAATTTCAAACAAATGTGTACAAGCTTTAAATTTATTCCCATATCTCAGTTAAGAAGACTAGATGCATCAAATGGTATCCACTCATTCGTTCCAACATAAACTTAGTGTCTACCATGTGCCAAGACACAGGGAAGGAAAATGCATGGATAATTAATATGTAACATGTGAACAAATAAATAAAATAAAGTGGTATGTGTTATAGTGGAAGAGGAGGATAAGAATGGTGTAAAGACAGAAAATACTTTTTATATAAATGCCTTTTATTTTAGTAGTATGTTTTACGAGAAGAACAGAAGTCACTGGAGAAGTCACTGGAGAGGTTGTTTAGGGTTATAAGGAGACACAGATTTGAAGGATAGAAAAGGAAAGCTAGCAGAGGACGGACTTGAGTTTTTATCTTGAAGGACAGGATAGAGAGAACCAGTTGAAGATTCAGTAGAATGAAGCTAAATGGGGGGGGGGGGGAAGTATGGAGTTTTCTCAAAAATTAAAAACAGGTCCATCTGGTGTGGCTCAGAAGTTGTGCATCTACCTATAAACTAGGAGGTCACAGTTTGATTCCTGGTCAGGGAACATGCCCGGTTGCAGGCTTGATCCCCAGTAGGGAGTGTGCATGAGGTAGCCAATTGATGATTCTCTCTTATCAATGATGTTTTTATATCTCTCTCTCCTTCTCCCTTCTTCTCTGAAATCAAGAAAAATATATTTAAAAACCCTAGTAATCCCACGTTTGGGCAATATATCCTAAGAATCCCGAAACACCAGTCAGAAAGAACGTGTTCACAGCAGTATAATTTCCAATACTAGCTAAGATCTGGAAACAGCCAAGTCCCCATCAGTAGGTAGATGAGTGGATTAAAAAAAGCTGTGATACATTTACACAATTGAATATTATTGAGCTGTAAAAAAGAAGGATCTCTTCCCATTGTGAGAGCATGGAGGGACCTGGAAGATCTTGTGCTAAGCGAAATAAACCAGTCAGAGAAAGACAGACATCCCATGATCTCACTTATATGCAGAATCTAAGGAACAAAACACACGGACAAACAAAACAGGCCCAGAGACATGGATGCATAGAACAGACTGACAGAGCTCAGAGAGGGAGAAGGCTGATAGAGACCAAAAGAGATTAATCAAAGAACCTATTTGCATATATGCACAGCCCATAACACAGACCATAGTGTGGTGAAGGCCTGGGGTGGGGTAGGGATTGGATGGAGGAGTTCAAAGAAGGAAAGAATGAGGGACATATGTAATACTGTCAACCCATAAAAAATAAATTAATCTAAAAATAAAATAAATTAAAAATAAAATAAACTAGTGGGAAGACGGTGGGACAGGGCTGAAGGCAAGTTGGGATGGGGGTTCATGAATGTTTGGTGGTACCAATCCACCCTACACACCACTGATCAAAGCCTACACAGCCCCACAAAGGAGGGACTTGGATTTCTTTACTGGCTTCTCTGTGTTGTTCCTTAACACGGCAGCAGTGCATCCTAGCAATTTCCTTTTACCTGCTCCTTGTGTTCTTCCTTCTTCCTCATATCTCCCGTCCTCCAAAGTGTATGGCTTTTTCCTTCTCTTGGTTAGTTTAGACCAGTGGTCGGCAAACTCATTAGCCAACAGAGCTAGATATCAACAGTACGATGATTGAAATTTCTTTGGAGAGCCACATTTTTTTTTTTAATTTAAACTTCTTCTAACGCCACTTCTTCAAAATAGACTCGCCCAGCAGTGATATTTTGTGGAAGAGCCACACTCAAGGGGCCAAAAAGCCACATGTGGCTCGAGAGCCACAGTTTGCTGACCATGGGTTTAGATTATCAGGGAAGAAGAAGGCCATCTAATGGCATCCCCTCTCCGGGGCCCTGAGGTCTCTGAGGTTGGCAGGTAGAGTCGGGCTTCAGAGCCTGTCCTTTCCCTCCAGGGAGAACCATCTGTCTGCAAAATTCTGCAAGTCTTCCAGCTTGGTCTACCCAGATTTGAGGTCTGCTCGGCGAAGAATCCACTTCTGGAGAACTTGAGCATATAAGTGAATGCAAGCAGCCTGCCTCAGGAGTTAAAGGATCCTTTATCATCGTCATGAAGAATCGGGTGGCTTTCCATTTTAGAACTCTACCCACTTAGTCAATAGGTGCATTATGAAGAACTGGACACATTGCATCACTGTGAAGGGCTTTGGACTGCGGTTTGCGAAAGCAGAATAAATTTTCTTGCAGTTGTACCGTTATGTGTACACACACACACACACACACACACACACACACACACACACACACTCACACGCCCATTGGCAGACAAGGCCACACCTCACAGCTCCGGAGGAAGCCACAGACCTCAGCTGTCCAGGCTGAGCCCTGCTTGGAGGAACTTTCCGCGGGACTGAGGACAAACAGCGCCCAGACAGACCGCCTGCCTGCGAGCCCGTGCCCTGGGCGAGCACTGGCGGCCGCGGGTCCCGGGTGCGCCCCCGGCGGGAGGGTCCGGGGCAGCAGAGGTCGGTGCCGGCGTGCGCGCACCCCCAGCCCCGCGCACCCCCAGCCCCGCCAGCCGCACCCCGGGCTCGGCGCTCGCAGCAGCAGGTCCCCCGGCCCCCGCCCGGAACATGGCTGCGCGCCCCGCCGCCGGCCTCGCCTGCGCGCTGCTGCTCCTCTCCGCCGCTCTGCTCCGCGGCGGCTGCCGGGCGCGCTTCGCCGCCGAGGCGGACTCGGAGGACGACGAGGACCAGGAGGCGAGGGTTTTCCCCGAGTCGCCGCTGCAGAGACCCACGGTGCTGGTGGCCCTGCTGGCCCGCAACGCGGCGCGCGCGCTGCCCCTCTTCCTGGGCTGCCTGGAGCGGCTGGACTACCCCAAGAGCAGGATGGCCATCTGGTGAGCCGGCCGGCGGGGCCCCGGCCGCCCGCGGGGACCTGGGCGGGGGCCGCTGTGCGCCGCGGGGACCCTGGGGAACCAAGGGGAACGCGGTGCGCACACCCCCTCGCTGCGGGTGCGGGTCCCCGGGCGGGCGGATCGCGGGGCTGGGCTGGGAAAGGACACCCGGGTGGGTCCCTGTGCGCTAGGGGTGCTCACAGGAATAACCAGCCGCTCGGAGCTCCGGAGGGGCGTGATGGTGGGGGTCTGGGCAGCCTCGTCCTTTCCGGGCAAGATTTTGGGGACACCCCACTCTAGTGCTAGCTTCTCTCCCTTTCCGCTCTCGAGGTTTCCTCTTTCCTCGCCCTGGAGGAAGGGGTTCAGGGTGTCCTCCCCCCCAACTCCAGATGCGTCTGGGAGGGTAACTGAGGCTGACCAGGGGGCTCCGGAATGTCTGGGGTGGCGAAGAGTGCGCTGCCCTGGCTCCCAGGTGCTGGCCGGCCCCTGCTCCCTCCTCAGAGGCTCCTGGTTCTTGGGGTTGGGAGGGAGCAAAGAGACCTGGGCCCAGACCTTGAGCCCTGGTGGAACCCCTGTGCCTCCTCAACCACGCCAGCCAGCATCGCGGGTCCTGTCTCCATGGAGCGCTCCAGACGGTCCCTGCCTGTGCATCTTCTTGGTACTCATTCCCTGCCGTGAGGCGCCCTGGAGGAGGCAAACAGCCAAATGTTGCAACCCTTAGCCCAGAGCTGCGGGTGGGCCTGGTTCCTGGGTTTGCTGCGGGGAGGTCCGGGGCATCCTTGGAGATGCCTGTCCAGCTCCATCTTTAGGAATGGGTCCGGTCCCACACCTTTGAAAAAAACCCGCAGGTATCAGAGGGCGGGAAGTTGGTGGCCAGGTGAGCTGCTAAGGAGCCTGCAGAGGAGGGGATGCATGCTGGCCTGGGGCGATAAGGCAGCCAGGGTTACATGGACTAGAAGACAAACCCCAGTTCGCTCGGGAGGGAGCAGTTTCTATCTTATGCTGCTAAAGGGAGCTGTCCGCAGGCAGAGCTTATCCTGGGAGCAGCGGTTGGGCAGAGAGAAAGAAGGATGGATAACGCAGCAGCAGGAATTGGCAGCCAGAGGGTACCTGGTGGGAGACGGGCAGAGGTGAGAAAGCAAACACGAAGTATATAGTGCGGCACTGTGCTGTACACTGCTTCACTGTATACGCCCTCTAGACGTGACCGCCGCCACGGAGGAGAGCATGCTATGTGGCCGGTGGGAACGCTGGTGCAGCCAGGTTTCAAACCAGAAGGAAGTACTTTTTTTTTTTTTTTTTTTTTTTTTAACCACTTCATTCCCAAAAGGAAATTCCACAGCTGTCCGTTGCTAGATGCCTGTTGCAAAAGAGATGCTTCACCGTATGGTCTTTATGCATTGCTTAGTCTTAAAGAATGTTGCAATAGTTACTATTTAGAAGAGATACCATGGCCCTGTGTTACAGACGAAGAAACGGAGACTTGAACAAGTTCAAAGACTCCAAGTCGCAGAATTAATAAATGGTAGAGCTACGATTTGAACCCAACTGTGTCCCTAAACACTGCCGTAGGAAGGGAGTAGTGGGAATAAGACACTAGAAACAAAAGTTATATAAGCCTATCAGCTGCAAAGTAGGAAATGTGAGTTGTCGGTCACTAACTTGATATGTGATATAGGGACAGTTTCTTGGGAGCCATAGACATTAGTTTCCTTAGTTAAAATGATGGAATGGGACTGCATTTGAAATTAGGATTTCAGAAGTCCTTTCCGGCTCTTGAATTACATACATTTTACGATGTGATCAGAATTGACAAACAACAATTGTACTTCCTAGGTCTCTGAATACTCCAGGTTCTACTGACTTTGGTATTCTGTTTAGATGGGTAGTTTCCCAATTCTGCATAGATCTTTGGGATTTATATATTCCTTACTCTCATTCATGGTCCATGTAAGTACTTTGTCCTTTATGGCCATTGTTGGAAAGTTAAGGAAGAAACCCAAGGTTTGGGTAAGGCCTTGGGCAACCCATGGGTTAGCCACTAAAAACTCTTTTTTGAGTTCTAGCTTAGAACCCGTATAGCATTTATTAGATAACAGTAACCAAAATTGGCAGCTTTAAGTAGTACTTTACAGCTCTCAGAGTACTGTCATCAGCTATGTTTTCTTATTTGATCCTGACTGTCATTCTGTAAAGAACTAAAATTATCTGTATTTTATAGAACTCATTCTGTTAAAAGTAACTGACTTAGGGTTACATTTTTTTAAATTAATTTCACAAACACTTAATGCTAAGCGCTCACAGTTCTTCTAAGCACCTTACATTCACTTTCTGGTTTAATATTCATAAAAACCCTATAAAGACCTATCAGGTGTGTACTGTATTATATACCCTTTTACGGGTGAGAAAACGGAGGCACTGAGAGGTTATACCAGCACATGTTCCTAATGACTGTGTGTGTGTGTGTGTGTATGTGTGTGTGTGTTTTGTGAGAATCAGGCACTATGCCAAATTTGGGCCAGTTGGACTGAGAAAAGTTGAATTAGATGTGGCTCCTTATAGACGAATATTGCATTTTCTTTTTCCTTTTTTTTTTCTTTTTCAAATATATTTTTTATTGATTTCAGAGAGGAATGGAGAGGAAGAGAGAGAGAGAGAAACATTAATGATGAGAGAAAATCATTGATTGTCTGCCTCTTGCATGCATCCTACAGGGGATCGAGCCCAAAATCCAGGCATGTGCTTTTGACTGGAATTGAACCTGGGACTCTTCAAGTCTGCAAGTTGACACTCTGTCCACTGAGCCAAACCAGCTAGGGCTTTTCTTTCTTCTATTTTCTGGGCAGTGTAAGGTCATCTGAATGGCATTTACAGGATGTAAGGGAGTGACAAAGGACTTCTAAGTCAGATTGGGACAGATGTCTGAATATGAAAGACTTCTTGAGGAGTTGACACTTTGTTTGAACTCAATTTTAAAGGACAAATAGGAATCTACTAAAACCTGGGATGTTAAGGAAGGAGGTTTCCAGAAAGAGGGAACAGGGAGACAAGAGAACAAAAGGCACTGGGACATTAACCAGAATTTACTGTCAGGGAAATAATATGGGCGGCAGGTCTACTGACTACAAACCTCCCAACTCATCGCCTTGTATCACCAGAGCTGCTACCTTTACGAATGGCCCTCGGAAAGTATTTGGCTGGGAAGATTATGGAATATAACCCTCTAGGAGGAGGTGGTACTTAAATTTAGGTCTTCAGCCAATTGCTTACCTCTAGTCTTTCTGTCCTAACTCGACTCAACATTCTGAGATGCCAAGCTGGTTAGTATCCACTCTGCAAAGCCAGCACATGCTGCTGTCAAAAGCAGTCAGTGTCAAAAATGGCTGTGAGCTACACAGAACCGTACAAAATAGAACCCTGTTGAGTACAGAGTCTGGGTGCCAGCTTCCAAGGAGTCCTGCTTCTCATTCATCTACTTACCTCTAACCATGACCAGAGAGCACCTGATAAGGCATCTTTCCTGTATGGGTAATGGAGAGGCCTGGCTCACTAATCACATTCAGACTTCTCAGTGATAGGATTTTTTTTTTCTTCTTACCTAAAGTTCTGGATCAGGGCTGTACAGCCCATTCAGGTGGAATGAGGGTCAACACATTGACCTGAAAACTTCTGCCATCAGAGAATGAGTGTCGATATCTCAGCATCAGGTTTGTTCAGATTAGGTTGAACAAAGGTAAGTTTATAGTTTTGAGATACTTTGTACCAGCAAAAAGGAAAATTTGTCCCATGTACCCATCTGAAAACCCCAACAAGCTAATGGTTTTCCTTCAAATTGGCACAGCTTTGTGATATGGAACTAAGGAGAGTATCCCTTGTGTTCTAATTCCATCCTGCACTGAGTGTGTGGGAATCGCTGCTGTGCTGAGATGCAGGGAGCTGGAGGCATTGTGACATGTGGCGGTGGACTTGGTGGCTTCTCTTTAATTCAGTGGAGCCATGCACAGTGGCCTTAGCCATGGAGGGAAGGCTGAACTCATCCCTCTTCCAAACCTGTGATTAAGGGGAGCAGCGCCAAGTTCCATGATCATGAAAAGTGGATTGGGGCACAAGAAAAAACATTTGACCAAAAGATACATTAAGTTTGTCTTTTGGAGAGTCTGCTATTGTCCTTGGGAAGGCAGCAAGGGTTCGCAGAGTCTGTACAAATTACAAGGCTGTAACTGCCATGTAATTACAGAACCATTTGGACATTTCACTTGGTAGAGTGTTGAAAAATAATCCTCAATTGGGGGCCATTGTATGGCTTTCTAAATAAAGAAATGAGTTTCTGTTGACATGTGCAGACATAATGGTGAGCTATACTTGGTCTGGGTACTGATCCCAATATTTTTATACACTACTTACTCTGTACAGTGCTTGGGGATTAGCTTGGATTGATCTCCACATTTTAATGCTCAACCAGGAGCATTTTGGTGAATATTTAACTAGAGTCACTAATATACATATGTTTATAAAATGTTCCCAAACTACTATTAACGATTACTTTCAGCACCAGCAGTGAGAACGATGTCACATTTCATCTCAACATTAGATGTTTTCATTACCCTTATGGAGAATTTCAGTTCAAGGCTGAAAAAGTGGACGATACTTTAATCCCCTTCTCTCCATTAGTCTTTTTTCCTCACCTTTATTAAGTCACAGCCGGTGGCTTAGTACTGAAGTAGGAGTGTGTGAGCTTAGAGTTAGACAGACTAGGGTTCCATCAGCGAACCTATGAGTATAGCTTTCCCATTTGGAAGTGATTATTAATAACACCTATCACAAAGATTTCTCCTAATAGCAAATGAGATAATATGTGGACATTGTCTTTTACATAAATGTTAATAAGCACCAGTTACCATTTTCTATTTATCTCTTCCTTTTTGTCCTATCTCCTTTATCTTCCAAATGAAAATTAAAAAAAAATTTTAAATATCCTATATAATAAAAGGCTAATACGCAAA